GCTACAACTACAACAAGATGAACATATTTGACCGTGATTTAATTGTAATACACGTTTCAAAATGATGCCGAAGTAACAACATACTGATGCCGGTTAGTAAAAACCATGAATTAATGCTTTGACAAGTCTGCAGACAGACGGCAGGAGAAAAACCCTTTTTAAAATGCGTGTTTTCTAAATGTAGCTTGGATAAGCTAATGTTATATATGCTCCGACCGTCCACACTCACAACAACGGCCTATACAGACATAAACAAACCAGCGACTGTATTCGCCATGACACAGGCAGTCTGTGGTTTGTACTTGTTTAACTTTTGTCTAGTTTCTGAACAGATATGAAGAGCTGTGAGCTCTAAGTGCTAAGAGGTAACGGCTGTGTTGTTTTTTGGGGCGCTCATTGAACAAAAAAAACTATTATTAAGAATTTGTTGGTATTTATTTGAGATACATTACGTTTTTTATGAATCGAACAACAGAAAAATAATCGTTAGATTAGTCGACTAATCGATAAAATAATCGCCCGATTAATCGTATTCAAAATAATCGTTTCCCCCCAGCACTATTACACACCTTCCGGCGCAGACTGAAAACCCATCTCTTTCGACTCCACTTCGAGCGATAGAACTATTAACAAAGAACTTATATACTAATAAAGGGCTGGCTTACCTAAAGCCAGTTGAGTAGCACTTGACATGTTTTGCTCTATGAAACCTGATGTACTTATATGATTCTGTTTTCTTCAAGGTTGTATCTTCCTGGTCGAACGCACTTATTGTAAGTCGCTTTGGATAAAAGCGTCAGCTAAATGCAATGTAATGTAATCTATAGAGGTGAAGAGAGGGGCACTTTGTTGTGCACAACCCCCTGCAAGGACACTTAGATATCTGCACTGTAAACACACAGGATAATTAGTTTATGAGGATGAGGGGGGTCTATAAGGGAAAGGGGATAGTATATTATAGTTGACAAGTATTTGTAAATTAGCAAGCAACTCAAGAGGCTCCATGATGCTTTTTGGGGGGTTCTCTTTCCTGTAGTCTGTATACATTTTTTAAGCATGTAAATAGTCTTCAAAGGCTAACATCAAAACGTTCTCTCCATATGGAGTTCTCTCCCAGACAATCCCCCCCCCCTGCCTGAAACGTTTTGATTGTAGCTTTGCTTTCTTTCTAAACACAGTGACATCACTATTTATCAATTGCGTTTCTATTGGATAGAGCTCCAACGTATTGTACGTGATAGAGATGTCCCGCTCCTTAGCCTAAGTGGTTGACCAATCACAACAGAGCCGGCCAGCTAACCAATCAGAGCAGACTAGTCTCTGGTTCGGAAAGAGTGGGAAAAGAGGTAACGCAACACAGGCAGTGCAAGAAAAATAACAACCTTACTTAGCAAAACAAAAACAATATCATAAAAATGGGATGAAGTTGATAAAAAGATAATAATATGATAAATGCTTTCAAGGACATTTTGATACAGGAACAACACAACATTGTACTTTTAATTGACTAAACAATTGATCAATTAATAAAAAAACTACCAAAACGGTAATGCAGCCCTCAGGTTTTGACAAATGACCAAACAGGTGGGCTCCTCACAGAAGGTCGCACACATCGAACACCTGCAGTTCTGTAATGGCCCCTTCTTGTGGGGGCAATTTGGCCTGGCCATGAGTGTGTGACGGTGAATGATGGAAGAGCAGCAAAAGCAGCGGCTGACAGACCCAATTGAACACGACGTTTCATCCGGGGACCGCTTCCATAAAGACTGACAATGATCGTACTGGGGCCCCAAGAAAACACATATAAACAGGAAGCACACAAACAACAGGAGGTTATTAATGGTCAGGTGCTGCTCTGTTTCTGCTCCAAGCACTTCACCGGCACACTGCAACCCGCAAGGAGCCATAATCAGCCCCCCCACCCCCCGGTAATCATTTACAGCGGCACCAGCTGCCCAGTGTCCTCAGGTCAGACCGGATACACAATCTGGTAATAGTCCTCCAAACTGTATCGCGGTTGATTAAAGTCTCTGCAGCAGGGACAGACCTTCAATCTGTCCCTTTTATCATTCGGATGAACAGACTCCGAGGAAAAAGACCCTAATAGCGGAGTCGGGGGTTGGGGGATCAGGTGGCTATAAATCTAGCTCAGGGACCCTTCACAGAAAGCACACAAGTGAGCCTTGTGATGGATAACCACGTCGGGGTAAAGGGTATTGATATGTCCGTCAGGAAACTGCGACGGTGTGCTCCATCTCATAAGAAAGATGATGCACTTTAAAAGGTAAGAAAGTCAAACGCAAAGCTAAAGGACTGCAGTCATCTGAGGGAAGGTTAGCGAGCAAAAGAGATGGATGGAAACATTGATAATAAAAACAGAAATATATTTAGTGTGGCAAGAGGAAACAAATACGTATGTCAAAAAACTATTAGAGCTGTCATCTGTTTGATTAGATTCAAACTGAGTGGTGTATTTCTCTGTGTGCATGTTTTGGTCTGTTTTGGTTCTGGCTCAAACAAACCCTGGTATGAATTCAAAAGCTTTATTACTAATGACGCATCTTGTGAATGTGATATGTCACGAAATAGATCTCTGTAATAAGTAATACAATACACAGAAGCGTGGTGAGTTTGTTTCCTACTCTGTTTATTTAAGCTGCTTACCAAAAAAACAAGAAGTAAAATATAGCAACTACACAAATATCCCTGTAATATTGCAGTTTAAAAAGCCTCTTTTTATCCTGTTTTAAGCAGTTTGTCACTATTTATGACACAAGAAGTCCAGCTCCAGTCACAACTAATCCTCTTAAGTCATTTATTTAAGCCCCCTGTGAACATTAAATCAGATAACAAATACACACAAGGTTCAGTAGGAACTTAATGCGTCTGGAATTGTATTTCATGTCGATTACCTGTCTTGGTTTGTTAGCAATAATTCAGTGTGAACACAATCTGAACCAGAGCTAAAGAGGCAGCATTGTTTTACTTCTTCTCCACTCTACCAAATAAATCAAACACCGGGTATGAATACATGTAATGGATATGAAAGGTGTAGCTGCTCTTTTTTTCTACGGTTTTCTTCACCTAGACTACAGTACTGTAAGTCCTTGTCCGAGGGGAGACATACGCAAACTTTATGGATAATACACTCTCTTGCTCTCTCGCAGAAACGCACATTCATATTAACAAATGTCATTACCCTTGCAATATATAGAATGTCCACGGACCAGTGAATAAAATAGAAGAACATTTCCTGCATGGCACTAATGGCACACAAATGTGGAATAATGGATTCAACAATATATTCTGCTCCAGCAATGTGTTCATATTTCACTCATCCAGCAGCGGAGGACAATTTAATGCTGCTCTTCCCTCAACTCGCTCAGCCTGCAAATCAATGTCCATTAAACCGACTTGAGTGTTCATATGTCACTGGATCCTCTCTCCATTAATTCTGCTTCTGCACAGATTTAAGTCTCTTCCATAGAGTACCTTTCCAACATCACCAATGCAGTGTATGTTGGCGGAGGCTCATCACGATGATATGTTGACCTCCAGTGACTTCACAATGCACTGATAATGAACTGGACCATTTGTACTATGTGGTTGTCACAGGCCATTTCTAAACCTGTATGTATGCAGCCAGGTTGTATTCAAAGTTCTCTTCTGGCTTTGACGACCCCTCCACACCGCGTGGGGGGCCGTCTGGTTGTGTGTGTGTTTTGTGTCTGATTGCAGGTTCCAGCTGCAGCTGTCTGATGAGGCGCACCTGCTGGATGAGCTACACCTGAATCAAACAGAATATAGGAGGAGCCCAGCAGGTTACGTCGCGCTCACTCCTCTGGGCACCCTCTCTGCGCCAGCTTCGGGGACCTGTTATTGGTGTCCATTTAGTTGACGTGTTTAGCAAATAAACGTATATTCGTACCTCTCGTCTCGCCTCCCTGCTTTTTGTTGCAGCCCAGGAGCCGGGTTGTAACATGGCAAGGTCGCGCTTCACACTCATAAAGTTTCTCAGCTTCACTGTTAGCTGTCCGTTGGCCTTGATACAAAGTGGCACGTCATGCTTCACCCGAACGACTGCGGCTTTATTGAAGGACACAACGGCGATAGTTCTTCAAACAGAGAAAAGTGATTCTCATTCACTCCGCCTTTCAAAAGATAGGAGCAAATGACCTTCCGTTTTCTAGTGTAGCCTGAGTCCTCGCAGATTTGAAGCGGTTCATACTTAAGCCTCATTATTTTAAATATTTTGAGTTAAGATAAACAAATATATATTTGAACTATTATGAGATGCTGCAAATAAAACCAAATAAGGCTGAAACGCCCAAATCTATAAGAACGTGGTTTCATGTTTTTGTAACAATTTGATCTGGTTAGTTTTTTGTTGCACATTTCAATTTTTCGGCCACACTGAGAAACAAAACACGATATATTTGTTTCAATCATCTGCATATTTGAGTATTTTATCAAGCTTTGTTGTTGCAGTTAGCAGCAGAGTATATTCTGCCTTTTAACATTTGCATACAACTAGAAATGTTATGGCAACTGAAAACTGGCCAAAACAAATCTGTTAAAATGTGAAATGTTATTCAAGTGTGTGGCACTGCATAAGATAATGGCATCATAATGTATTCATATGATATCTTACATACTCAACAACCTATAGGCTTGTCAAAACAGGGTCTTGTTTATCGTTTCCTGCAGCAAACAAAACAACCTCTGAACGCATGAGCACATTAAAACACTAATTTCCCACTGAAAATAATTAAAAGGCCAAACAATGAACTGTATGTAATTTGATAGGCAAAAGATATTGTTACGGTTGGATAAACCTGCAACGTGAACTTTTGTAAGAGATCATTTTATGGTGACGCTACTCTGCACGCACAGGAAGTCACTGAGCCTGTTCATCTTTCAAACTACACAGGCTGGGTGGGGATGAATGGAGCAGCAGATCTCAGCAGAGAAGAGGGAGAACAGACGTCTATTAATCTTACCTCCTCTCCTGTCAGGTAGTAGGCCGACAGCAAGCCGCCAACGTAACGGATGTTCACCTCAAAGAGTGATGCCTCGCCGTTCTGCAGAACCAAGAGAGAGAGATCATATTGTCAAAAGTCGTATCATACCAAGGACTCAGAGGGTGGTAAAGAAGCACAGTGGGGTTAACAGAAAATAATAATACACTGTAATCATCATAAACAGCTGTGATTACTATTTTTATGGGAGAAAATGTATTTAATAGCTGGGATACTCGGTCCTTTGAGACCCGTTGGGCAGCCCAGTTAATGAAATAAATACCATACTACTCAATGTGAGCTGTGAAGTTTCTATGAGTCATGTGTACGATAAACATTTTTTTCCAGAGAAATGTTTTGTATTTGTGCCACAAAAATAGATCCTGTGACATTTACAGGAACAATAAACATCACATCTTTCAGACTTATATCCACAAGAATCAGAGGGGGCAAGTGATGGATTACACTTTTGATTACACCTGTGAAGAAAACTGGAAAAAAAACATCACTCTTAGAATAAATGTGTGTGTATGGGGTTGTTCTGATTAATAAGCTGGTATATTTCAGGCAGTGAGTTTACAGGAGGATTAATGGCTGCTTGGAAAAAGTTTGGAAAAGATTACCAACCTCTAAAGTTCTGATTGGAAAAAAAAACATTTACACAGCAACACCAGACTTATATTTAGAAACATCTTTTGAGAGGTGCTGGTGACTCAGAGGTGTGTACAGTAACAGGCCCTTGAGCTTTAAAGGCCGTAAACAACTGAACACGTTTTGGGCATTTGGGCGTGTTGTCTGAATCCAATTATTATCGTGCTGTTTTACTGGGAGCTCAACCTGTCACAGCTTTTGTACTAGTGCGTCCATTATTCGTAGTAATGCCACACAATACCAAATACATACTGTGTACTTTACTGAGAGGCAGCAAACGACATTGCAGGGAGGAAACAACCACAATCATATTTTATAAAGATAGGAATTCTCTTATCATCTTATTAGCTACAGCCATTGTCATTCACTCATTTTATGTAAAGGATGCATCTCTTATGACCTTACCTTGACATCACCTTATGACTTCCAGAAACTCTGTATGTGTGATTGACCCAAAGTACAGAACCATGTTATCGAAATAAACAAATGTGTCATCAGAAAACCCTACAGACACTATTAAAGAAAGTGTTTAAAATATATATTGGTATTATTTTACAAAGGCAGTTTTGCAGCTATGACGTGACACAACTTACTACAAAACAGACTGATTAACTTCATTATCCTTCATTAGGAACGTGTTGTTTCTTCATAAGTCTGTGACAGTATCATACAATAATGATGACTCCCCATTGACAGACTGAAAACCCACCTGTTTCCCTTACAACCTGGCCAGCCAATCAAGACCAACCAAACCTAATCAAAAGAGTGTTGTACTTAAAGGGTTCAGCTCATTTGAAAATAATGCATCAGCACTATCAAAAATTAATATGAGTTTGTGGTTTATTGCACTTAGTGTAAATGCTTTGGATAAAAGCATCAGCTAAATGTAATTGAATACAAATATGCCAAACAAAGTAGTGCAAGTTCAGCATTAGCATTTATTACCAACATCACAGCGTCAAAGTGAATACATTAGCACTATCGATGCTATCCCAAATTCCAGTATATTTCAGAGGGATGGCCAGAAATATAGATCTATATAATCAAAGTTATTCCTCACTTACAATCGCTCCAGTTTGATTCGCTTTTGTTTAATATGAACCAAGGTTTTACTTCAATTGGAGGAGTTAGAGAGGAGAGGACTCTGTGAGATGTCGTGTGGCTGTGAAGCGACTGCAGGAATAAGTTGCTCTCTCTAGAGCTCCCAATCTTCTCTGTGTACACCCGTTGAAATGGAGATTCCCTCTCGAAAGACACCTTTAGAGCCAGGCCAGTCTCCAAAAGTCAGGTCAGAGAGTCAAAGCTCTGTAATCATGTTTCCCAAAGTTTAGTTTCCTCAAAACCTTTTTTTTGTCTGAGGTGTCTCTTACAACTGCAGGGCAGTATCGATTGAAGGAGAGTTAGTACACTGGCTCAAGAGGAACTTATTCTAACGCCTCTGAACCTGTTTCAAATGTTCACACATTCACATACAGTAGTGGATGGTAACAGGTAGCAGATTTTAATTATACTATAAAATACCCTCATGTTTTTCCCAATAGTGTAGATACAGATATATATCTATACTGAGAATAATCTATTGAGCGCACTTAAATTCACCTCTGACTTCCCAAAACATTGGCAGAAATATCTCATGTTGTAACTATGGTGGCTTATGACTGCATGTGTCTAAATATGTCACCATAATTATTGCCTCTTGTGCTAGGTGAAGGTGGAAGCAGTCTGGTACTCCTTGACTTGGAGACCTATTGCGAGGGAAATTACTATCTCAAGTGTGGATGATAAGAACATTTTTTAATTGGTTGCCAAAGAGGGCAATTAGCTCAACTCTGAGGAATAGGTGAGATATCCTGTGGGGAGTCACTGGCATCCATGCAAAGGTAGCATTTGACTCCAAATCATTATGTGTTTATACTTATTGTATTGTTGTATGGCTCAATATTCATAAGATGTTGTCAACACAATGTTAATAGATTTCTTCACCCTCTTGGCAAAAATACATTTTGAAAAAGTGTACACTTTTAAGGACAACCCTGTCTCCTAAAAATTACGTTCCCACAGAACTAAACTGCATTCTCAATTACGTTTAGCTAGAAACGTATTTTCTCCCACGTTACGTTTGTTATGAACGTATCTCAAATACGTTTATTTTCTACATATCTTCTAGAAACATATCTTCTCCCACGTTACGTTCGTTATGAACGTATCTTAAATACGTTTATTTTCTACATATCTTCTAGAAACGTATTTTCTCCCACGTTACGTTCGTTATGAACGTATCTTAAATACGTTTATTTTCTACATATCTTTGCCATTTATTGCCTTGCTTATAATAATGATAATAGTCATTTATAAATATCATTTTAGAGCACACATTTGAAATCGAGAATCGGGCTCGATATATGGTTAAATTAAAAATCAGTAGGCGAGGCTGTAATTTCGGCAGCTGTTACTCTCATGAGCGAGGCAGAAAATAATAGTTTTAACATGACAAAAAGCTGCTGTGTCGTTTATTGCACCTCAAAGATTAAAACAAATCCAGAGTTACTTGTTTCTGTACTTCCTCTAAGAAGAAAGGACAGTAAAAGAAGAGCTCTGTGGCTTCAGGCTTGATCGCCGTTCAAATGACAGCGTTGGTTTCCCCAAAAGTGGGCGGGGCTGTAAAGTGACGTTTTACTATCATCTATTATTCAAAACCATTCTATTTATTCTAACGTAAATTACATGCCAGTGTTTTATCTTTTTATTTATTTGTTTTTATTTTAAATCGTATAATGTCGGACTTTTTTCCCGTCTGTGAGGAAAATAAATGGGGTTTAGAGCCTCAAAATACTGAAATCTGTATTTTTTTAAATCTTTTCCTTCTAATTTGTTATTATTTTCTAAATAACACACTGTTATTTACTCAACCATAACACACAATTATCCTTGTTTTTATTTATTCGTTTAATTCTATAATCTTGGGCTTTTTAGCCGTAAATAAAGTCACCGGAAACAGGCGGGACATTTCGAGCGATACACACCACAAATCCACCGAACTGATTACCCAAGATCCTCAGCTTGAAGCTCGTTGATTGGATGTTTTAGCCGCAATAAACGCTGGTATATGGTGTTAATAAGTTGTGATATCCGAAAACGAAAAATAAAATAATACCTAATTCAGAGTGTTCTTGCTTTTCTCTTTGGAAGTCATCACATAACGGCATTGTAATACACGGTTCGGCTCCATTAAATATTATACATCTGCCGTAGTTCTTTATTTATAGAGCCCTGCTGAGAAGACTTCTAGACAAACATGAGGAACTGCCGCCAAAACTGAATACTTGATGTGGATCATAAATATATCAACAATTAAACAACATCTTCAATTTCTTTTCACAAAATACGTCTCCTTGCAGTATCAATAATAATTCGGCTGACTTTTATATTTGATCCAATTGGTAGATAATAGGTTATATTTACACCATAACGGTGCACAGCTGATAGAAAAGGACTTGTAGTTTTTAAAGATATTACTGATTTTCTTTGAATATAAGAATGTAAACGAGATCGCGGATACAAGCGGCCGAGATGGGTTTTCTCCGCAGGGTGGCTGGTGTCTCCCTTAGGGATAAGGTGAGAAGTTCGGTCATCAGGGAGGGACTCGGAGTTGAGCCGCTCCTCCTTCGCGTCGAAAGGAGCCAGTTGAGGTGGTTCGGGCACCTAGTTAGGATGCCACCTGGGCGCCTCCCTAGGGAGGTGTTCCAGGCACGTCCAGCTGGGAAGAGACCAAGGGGTAGACCTAGGACCAGGTGGAGGGATTATATCTCTTCGCTGGCCTGGGAGCGCCTTGGGATCCCCCAGTCAGAGCTGGTTGATGTCGCCAGGGAAAAGAAAGTTTGGGGCTCTCTGCTGGAACTGCTACCCCCGCGACCCGACCACGGATAAGCGGAAGAAGATGGATGGATGGATGGATAAGAATGTAAATACTGAGTTGAGAGAATAGTCAGGGGATTTGGGTGATGGGAGACACATCTATGGATTCAGAATTGCAATAGCTTACCATTAAATGACGGATATACCTTTCTGTCTGTGATGTTTTACAAATCAGATATTAATGTGTAGAAGTAAAACATCTGAAATAATATAGCAATATCCTGTAAAATTATGTAAAAACATGAATAAAACTACACATCTTCAGATGTTATACATACATAAGTGTTCTACACTAATAATACAAAGTTATTATTAGTATGCTGTGTGTACCTTGTGTGCACCGCCTAGTGGTTAAAGCACGTTATTGAATTATTTTTGTTGAATAATGTTATTTGATGAAAACAATATTAAGAGTACATACTTTCATAGGGGGAAAGTAGAAGGTCAATGATAGAAATATAGAATATAAAAAGTCAAGAAGATACTATAAGTGATCT